AAAAATAATAAAGTTTAGGCTATGTATGTTTTACCATAATCATAATACAAAACAAATATATCTAGAAAGACATGCCATAGAAACTACCTATAGAGGCATGGGGGGATGGAGGAATGGAAATAGGGATCAGGGATGAAGGGGACCAAAACCTGAAAAAATACCTTCCTGAGGCTGGTTTCCACAGCATGTCCTGAGGGTATGGTGAGCTCAGCTCTTAGGAGCTGAGAGGGCTCTGAATCGCTATGCAGTATTTTCTTTTCTTTTCTTTTTTTTTTTTTTTTTCTGAGATGAAGTCTGTCGCCCAGGCTGGAGTGCAGTGGTCCGGTGGTCACGGTTCACTGCAACCTCTGCCGTCTGGGTTCAAGTGATTTTCCTACCTCAGCCTCCCAAGTAGCTGGGACTACAGGTGCCCACCACCATGCCTGGCTCATTTTTGAATTTTGAGTAGAAACGGGGTTTCGCCATTTTGGCCAGGATGATCTTGAACTCCTGACCTTGTGATCCGCCTGCCCCGACCTCCCAAAGTGCTGGGATTACAGACGTGAGCCACCGCACCCGGCCCTATGTAATATTTTCCCTTAACTTGGCTATTTTAAAGAGCTTAAGTAGATTTGTCAAAAATGCAAAGTTTATGTTAATAGAGCAAGTGGAAACCTAACTTGACTTGCCTGGCATAGGTGCCACCCTCCTTCCTAATCCACCTTTAAATATTCCTCATTTTAACTGGCTTTGTTTGTTTGTTTGTTTGTTTTTTGAAATGGAGTATCGCTCTGTCGCCCAGCCTGGAGTGCAGTGGCATGATCTCGGCCCACTGCAAGCTCCACCTCCTGGGTTCACACCATTCTCCTGCCTCAGCCTCCCAAGTAGCTGGGACTACAGGCGCCCGCCACCACGCCCGGCTAATTTTTTGTATTTTTAGTAGAGACGGGGTTTCACCGTGTTCGCCAGGATGGTCTCGATCTCCTGACCTTGTGACCTGTCTGCCTTGGCCTCCCAAAGTGCTGGGATTACAGGCGTGAGCCACCGCGCCAGGCCCCCTCATTTTAACTGTTGATGGCAGTTTTCTGCATTGAAGTACTTATCTCTGCATGTTGAAGATTAATTCCTTAAATCCATTCCACTCCTCCGTTGATTACCTTCTCAGACACTGCAGAGGAAATGTAGCAGATTTTGTGTCCTCCTTCCGCCATTTTGGTTTTGGTTTTGGGCAGTCCACACACCAGCAGTATTAAATATAGTTGTTCTACTGTTTGATCTATGATTTAAAAAGACCCAAGCCACCACTTTAAGTCAGCTGTCTATAAAAACAACAAGACTTTTATATAGTATAAACAAATTGTTAGATAAATAATGAGACTTTGGAATGAAGTCAGAGGGTGCATGAGTGCAGAGCAGGTGCGCTTGCTTTTCAGTATTACCTGTTTGTCCTCCTACCATCCATGCAAGGCAGCAGAGAGAGACAGCTTTCATTCTGAAATGTACAGAATCCTATGAATATTTGCTGTATTAGCATGCAGTATGAGTGCCAAATTAATTGTACAACTAGCAATTGTCATTATGCTAGTAATGTCAATCTTTCATGATTTAGAATAGACCAAAACATGTTAACTTTTTATAAATTTGCCTTTGAAGTCAATAAATCTGGCTTGGTTTAAGTTAAAAGAAAAAACACAAATGAAAATGGAATGATTTTAAACTCCGAGTCAGAGGCCTGCCCAATCTGGAGAAGAGAGACTAGCAAAATAGAAAGGAGTTCAAGGTATGCTAGAGGCTGTCTTTCTCCTTGACGTGATTAGAAGGCTTGAAGGAAGTGGAAAGGCAAATCACTTTCCTTCCATTTATCACGGATGTATTTTACTGCCGTGTTTGGATATTGCCTGTAAATCGTGTCCTGTTTCACCTGTGATGAGCATCTCTTGGGCTTGAAAACGCTGTTGTGGACACTGAGCCCCCAGGATCAGAAGCTGGATGGAGAACTTTCCTGGGGGAGGCCTCAGGGGCAGGAGGTCGGGACCTGGCCTGTTGATAAGAAGGCCCTGGGCTGCCCGGCGTGGAATGTCCCTTTGTGTTTAGCAGCCTTGCTCAAGACCTCTGCGTTCTGCCTACCTAGCAGTTTGGCATGGTAGAATTTCCATGGGCTTCAGAGTCAGATAGATCTGCCTAAAATTGCTTCTTAGCACAGGGCACCTGACCTTGTCAGTAGAATGGGCATAATACCCATCTCAGGAGGTAGTTGTGAGGATTCAGTGAGATAATGGGGACATGTCAGCCTCTCTCCCCGAGCCTAGCACATAGTATGTGCATAATAATGGCACCTGTTATCACCTCATACCTCTTGGGCCTAGGGTAGCAGATCGCCAGATCATCTTCCATGTGTTGACTTTCAGCCTCACACTCGCAGGGTGGCTGCTGTAGACATTGCACCTGCACTAACGGTGGGAAGAAGTAAAACACTCCCATCTCTGTTCCTTTTATCCAAAACCAAAAGCTTCCCCAGAAGTCCCCAGCAGACTTTTCATGGGTCCAGCTGGCCAACCCCAGCTACCTGACTGCCCATAGCTGCAAGGGAGGCTAGGAAAATGGGAAAGAGGTAGGATTGTTGTGACTTACCCAGTCATTTTTTATTGTGTTGTGGGATTCCATTAGTGGGGAGGAAACGGGTCACAGCTGATGAGACAGAAGCCCTCGGCACCTGCCCCCAGGTGTTACCTGATTCCTCCTGATGGTTTTCCTATTGCTTTGCCAGCCCGCACTATGATGTCAGGGCAGAAGGAAGGAAGGAGTCTGGGGCTGGATTAATTTAGCAAAGAAGGGTGGGTACAGCATGGAAGCTTCTAGAAGCAAAATCCAGAATCCCTTCTTCCAACCCCCCAAGTGTTTGCATGCCCTGTTTCCACTTTTGGAAGCATTCTTCATCCAGTTCTTTTTTTTTTTTTTGAGACAGAGTCTTGTTCTGTTGCCCCGGAGTGCAGTGGTGCGATCTTGCCTCACTGCAACCTCCGCCTCCCAGGTTTCAGAAATTCTCTACCTCAGCCTCCTGAATAGCTGGGATTACAGGCACGTGCCACCATGCCCAGCTAATTTTTTTTTTTTGTATTTTTAGTAGACACGAGGTTTCGCCATCTTAGCCAGGCTGGTCTTGAACTCCTGATCTCGTGACCCACCCACCTCGGCCTCCCAAAGTGCTGGGATTACAGGCATGAGCCACCGTGCCTGGCCCATCCAGTTCTTTAGGACAATGGATTCATCCTCTATTTTTAAGCTTTCTTCTGGGAAGTTGCCCTGAATCCCATGTTTGGGGGAGATCATGTTTGGTGCCACCAGAAAGGGAGAAACGGAATAAAGTATAAGTTCAAGGGAGAGCCCAGGACCGACTCAGATGAGGTGAGGAGATCAGGGAGGCTTCATGGAGGAGGTGGCTTTTATTCATTTGTTTGAAGAATATCTCACCCCCTTCTCTGTGCCAGGCCCTTGGTGAATGGAAGATGGCAGACAGTATGACAAGCTGTCATCCAGGCCCCCTAAAAACACCCCTGCCCAGTCCCAGCTTCGCCCCTGACCTGATACTGGATGCAGGGTCAGGGCCAGATGGAAGTTTGCAGTCTGTCCCATGTAGAGGCAGGAGCAACAAAAGTCATTGAGGCCTCATTATCTAATCTCATGGTCCAGCTTTCTGCTTTGTGTGCTGAGCTTTGGAAAAAGCTAATCATCCAAAATCCAGATCTATTTCTTCAGGTGAAGAAAGGGGTTTGTAGCGTCAGAGGGCTCCTATCTGAGCAGGATGGTATTGGGTTGAGATCATTATCTAGTCAGCGATGAGGCTGAGAGGCTACCAGGGAAGGCCACTGTGGCCAATGTGACATGAAAAAGGCCAGTTACAACTGCATGTCAACAATGACGGTGATAAATGGATGGAAAACTAGATTTCTATTTACAAAAATCCCAGTTAACAGTGACCATCCACAGTACTCTATTGCATAAAAATGGTCTCCTCTGGTTGTGTGCAGCAGCCAGCCTCACTTGTTTTAAGCTATAAACTGTAAGTGGCTTTAACACCATTTCTCTCACAGTATGTTCATGCTGCAATCAAAGCGGCTTTGGGTGGGTTGGAGGCTAGAGATGCAGCTCTCGCTTGTTTGAGCCCTGCTGACAAGATAGCACAAGGCGAAGACCAGGCCCACGGGGAGCTGGCTGCTAGAACGAGGTGTCTCCTGCAGTTTCCTTCACCCCGAAGCTTCCTTTTGCAGTTGCCTCCTCCCGACCCGCCAATTTCTTCGCAGGCCTGGAGAGACCCTGCCTGTAGGAGGCTTGTCTTTCTGTGTTGGAATTGACCTAGACCTAGAGCTGGGTTGTAGTATAAACTTTCTCCGCTAGGTGGTGCATGAAGATGCCCTCCCGCCCTGTGCTCCCTGAGCTCAATCTCTTGACACCTTCCCTGGCATCTCCGTGTACCAGTGCCACACAGTGCGGCCTCTTCTGGTGACCTTATCACCCCCTATCTTGATTGTTTTTCTCTGTAGACTGTGAGCCTTGTGGGTGGGGGAGTGCTAGACGTTCCTCCTTCTGAATTTCCAGCATGTGACACAGTGCTGGGCATGTGGATGTTCAGGAATTGTTGGATGAATCAAAGAATGAATGAATGAATGCATGAATGAGAGAGGAGGGACGGAAGGAGACAAAGGGCCTTATCCTCAAGCATGAAGGCTCATTAGGTTCGAGGTACACATTCTGTGAAATGAATCAGGCTTCAATAACAAGATGAGTTTCCTTATAACCAGGGCTATCTCTTCACGATGGCCCTGACCCTGACGATCCCTGTCCTAGAAATGTGGCGATCCCAACAGGCGTCTAGGATGTTGGTAACATACTCCCAGCATGAGAAGGTAGGAAGGTCCCATTCATTGTTGTCTGTAACTGGCAGTTCAGAGGCCACCAGCTCGCGGAGTCCCATCCGTTGCTTTTGAAATTGTCACAGCATTTCTTCCTTCCCTATCTTCCAGAGTGAAACATCTTTCAACCTAATATCAGAAAAATGTGACATTCTATCCATTCTTCGGGACCATCCTGAAAACAGGATTTACCGGAGGAAAATCGAGGTGAGGCAGAGGGCAGGGAGAAAAGCATCCTAAAATAAACAGGCTGGAGTTGGGAGTGTAAAGGTGATGCCTCTTTGAAGGCCAATAGTTTGGGCCAGGTTCCTGGGCAAATGAAAGGATTCCTAGGATATTTCGATGTTGGACATTTGCCTTAGCAATACATCCTTTCATTCCAAAAAAAAAAAAAGGATTTTTTGTTTAAAAGTTTAGCACTATCCTAATGTTTTATTTACTCACTAAGACTTCACTACAACTCTGTGAGGTAAGTACTTTTATTACACCCATTTTACAGCTCAGGAAACTGAGGCACAGAAATTAAATTGTGGCCATTTAGCTCATGAGTGGCCAAGCTGGGATTTAAATCCAGGCAGCCGAGTCTCAAGCCACATTCATAACTGCTGTGCCGGGAGACCTCTTGGAGGGAAAGTGTACTCCGGTGAGGCTAAAGGGATTTGTGGGAAGGCTGCAGGGATCGCTTACGGAGCGGTCACCCGTGGGTGGCCGGAGGAGCTGGGTACCCACTCTGTCCCTCTGGCAGCAGGCCCCGGCTGCTCTCTGTACTCTGCAGGACTTCCTCTCGCTGCAGGACAGGCTTGCTCTGGCACTGGCCCCACAGGCCCTTCCCTTTGAGTTCCTCTCAGACACGCAGCACCATTGCTGGACCCCGTTACTTATCCTCAGAGACTCTGATGGGTCCAGCTTGGGTCAGATGTCCATCAGCAGCCAGGGGTAGTGGTGTGGGCATCATGTGATCGGAACGCCACTGCAGGGGCACTTCCAGGACAGGAGCTGGGCTCTGCAGCCCGCTGACTTTCGTGTCCCCCGGAGCCCTCCTGGGAGAAGAGCCAGCGGCTCCAGAGAGTCCCTGCCTCCCCACTGCCAGCTGGCCTCAGGTGGGCCCAAGTCAGCTCTGAGCCTTCTCATGGCTATGGGGGGAACACGAACTCCCAGACCCCTTGAAAACCATCCTCTGCTGTCAAAACGCTGCTTATAGTCCCATGAGGCAGGAAAGGGGATTCCAGGCCAGTTCAGAGGGACACCTACTTATTGCTAGGAGTGGAGCTGGAGCCTAGCCCTCCCTCCCCTGCTCACACATGCAACCCCCCAACCCCTACTTCTGCCGGCTCCCGATTCTCTGTGCTGCTCCCCCAGGAAGGCTTCCCCAACTTCCAAAAGCCAGTGCAATGCCACTGCCCTGTGGCACCCAGCCGGGCACTCCTTCTGTCCTCACAGTGCCACTGTCTAACTATCCATCTTCCCTCCCGGACTGTAGGCTGCCGGGGGGCAGGGACGGACACACAGGACAATGCAGTGTATTTTCATATCAGGGGGATGAACGAGGGTGGGAGGCTGAGGGGATAGCAGCCTGAAGGGAGGGAGCAGGCGTTTCCTGGGAGAGATGGGGGGCACCTGGCTAGTCCCAGCACCTAAACCACACAGAGCTGTTATTGGTGCAAATGCCCACATTTCTTTCTGTCCCCTTCAGGAACTCAGCAAAAGGTTCACCGCCATCCGCAAGACCAAAGGGGATGGGAACTGCTTCTACAGGGCCTTGGGCTATTCCTACCTGGAGTCCTTGCTGGGGAAGAGCAGGGAGATCTTCAAGTGAGTGCCGGGGCCCCTTGGGCTCTCAAGGCTATGTTCTCTGTGCTAGGTCAGCCCCAAGTCTCTCGGAGGTTTTTGTTACACTCGGGCTGGTTAACCCAGAGAGTGAGCTGAAGGGCTGCCTGGCAGAGGCATTTGATGTTGGAGGAGCCCAGCTGCCTGCTGTGGTGGAGTTGGAGGCAGCCAAGGGGTGGAGGATGGAATCTGTGGCCTCCCAGATGCTTTCCAGCCTCTGCTTCCACCACAGGCCTGGGTCAGCCCAGGTAAGTCGCGTGGAGCAGGTGCTTCGTGACCTAATCTGAAAAAAGAAAACACAAACAAAAAGAAGCTTTGCCCTGGTGTTCGGCATAATTCCTGTTGACCTTGGTTTGGAGTGTGTGTGACCCAGGCATTCAGCTGTCTGGGCCTGGCCCTGAGGTCATGCTGGAGAAGGTCTGTGTCCAGAGCTGCCCCTATCATCTCGGCTAGTTCAGGGTTTCTCATACCTGAACATTTGTACAAGGCCCCTGATTCTCTAGTCCATAGCAAGATACAAAAAGCAAAGACAGACAAACCCCTGAGACCTGGCTAGGACGCAAATTCCTGTTCAGGGGGAGCAGGGCAGAGCCGGGACTGCTTTCGTCACTGCCTCCCAGGAGATGCTGATGCCGCTGGGCCTCAGACCATGCTTTGAGGAGCAAGGAGCCAAGAGACCCACCTGGCTCTTAACCTTTGGGGGTCTCAGAGCCCTTAGAGGCTTTGGTGAGGGCCATGGGCCCTCCTCATCTGAGACCCGCACCCAAATGCCCTCTGGAAACAGTACGGGGGGCAGTGGGTCACAGAGCACTTCTTTGGCTAAGGCAGGTTTCTCACCAGCGGCATGACTGATGTTGTGGGCTAGATCATGCTCATGGTGGGGGCTGTCCTATTGTAGGCTTATTAGCAGCATCCCTGGCCCCCACCCATGAGATACTAGTAGTAACCCCTTCCCCAAGTCATGACAATCAAAACTGCCTCCAGACACTGCCAAGAATCTCCTTTCGGCGGAAAAAAAGTCGACCCTATCTGGTTGAGAACTACTAGGTTAAGGCCATCATCTCCTGTTCAAAATATAGATGATCTCAAAGAGGGTAGAAGTTGAGTCATCTATTCCTTGGCTGAACCGTTCAGATTGTTTCCCCAGTGACAGACTGGCAGAGCCCCTTATGATGAAGAGTCAGCTATCTCAAGCCATTCCCCTCCCCAACTTTCTCAGAGCCCTGTGGGAACCAGCGCAGCACAGTGCAGGGATTATGACCCCAGCGTCATTTCCCTATGACCCATGTGCCCTGGAGTTGTGCCACGCAGCAGCCCTGGGCTCTGAGGTCAGACCTCACTCTCTTGCTTACTTGCTGTGCCACCTTGGGCAAGTGACCTGACCTCTCTGGTCCTCAGTTTTCATGCCTGTGGAAGGTGGACATTATAACACACTTCAGGATGCTACTGTGAGGACTCAGTGGGTGATGCTGGTCAAGCCCAATGCCTGCATCTCTCTCTGCACCAGCCCACGTGCTCTGTTCACCTTTCCTCTGTCCTGTCTCCCTGCTCGTTAGCACACACGGGTGCCATGCTCAGACCCTGCTCTAGGCTGTGGGGATACTGCAGTGAACAAGAGAGACAAAAATCCCTGCCTTGTGGGGCTTGCGTCCTAATGGGAGAAGATGGACAGTACATGAGTATCATGTTTGAGGTGTCAGATGGTGATAAGTATTGTGGGAAAAATCAAGCAGGAAGGAGGCCGAGGAGTGCAAGGTCTGGCGTTGTCTGTTTCAAGCAGGGTTGGAGAGGTAAGGGCGGCAGGGCACATAGCACCTCAGGCCTTTCTAAGGACCTTGGCTTTCAGCCTGAAGGACGCGGGAACCACCGAAGGATTGTGCAGCACGGGGACCTGCCCTGCTGGCTGCTGTGTACAGGACAGATGGGGGCGGAGACACGGCCAGGGAGATGTGGTTGGCGAGAGATCCAGAGAGGAGATGGCCGTGGCGTGAGCAGGTGGATGCAGTGGGCATGGCAAGAAGTGGGCAGGTCTAGACACCTGTGGAGGTGGCAAAGACAGGATTCGTGCCTGACTCACATGTTGGACATGGCAGAGTCAAGGATGGTTCCCAGATATTTGACCTGAGAGTTAGCAGGATGGAGAAGCCGTTTGCTGCAAGAGAGGGCTGAGGAAGATCAGGAGCTGTGTTTTGCGATGCTGTCTGAAATGTCCAGGAGTCATAGAGTGGGGGTGTCTGGTGGGCACTGGAGGTATGAGGCTGGTGTTCAGCAGGCAAGCTGGGGCACACAGGTGGTAAGTCAAACCACAAGGCTGCATGAGACCACCAGCATTTTCTCTTTCTTTTTTAAAACATTTTCTTTCTCTCTTTATTTTTTCTTAAGAGATGGGTCTTACTATGTTGCCTAGGCTGGCCTCGAACTCTTGGGCTCAGGCGGTCCTCCCTCCTCAGCCTGCATCTTCTTACACAAAAACCGAGACCATGTCACTCACAGGCTTGAAATATGCTCCTGACCTCTAGGAGCAGTGGAAACCCCTGACACCAAGGCCCTCCACACCAGGCCCCTGCCCCTCCTACCCCATTGCCTGCCCACCCTGAGGTCTAGGCATAAGGACCCATTTATCCCACACATACCAGAGCTTGCAGGCATGACATGCCGCCTGACACTGCCTTGGCCTAGGTAGCCCTGCCTCTGACCTGGCTGTGGGTTCTTCGGGCCCTAGGCAGGTTGCTTCACTCACTCCTCTGTAGCTCCTTTCCCCAGCTGAACAGTGACCATAGCCCTGTCATGGACATTAAGTGATTGACTCGTGAGTACTTGGAACACTGACTGGGGTGTTCTGTGCTAGCTCTGATTGTCTGCGTCATGCATCCTCCACAACCTGCTGTCTCCCTGTGTGCAGTGAGCCCAGAGCCACCCAGGCAGACACTTGTTCTCTGCTCAGTGCTGCTGCAGGGCTGGAGCAAGCGTGTTGCAGCAGTATGCTTGTTCCAGCCCTGGATCTTGCATACTTGCTCTAGAAGTATGCAAAGTACTTCCGTGTGCCGGAGGCTTGGAGAACACGCGCTTCCTTTGAGGGCAGCCACTGTTACTACCCCATCTTACAGATGAGCAAACAGAGCCTCATAGAGGTCAAATGACTTGCCAGAGGTCCCACACAGGCTTGTGTGCAGCCCCAGCTGTCTGAACTTGCCCCCCTGCCGAGCCCCAGTGCCATCCCTCCCCACATCCCTGGCTTGCCTCTCGGGGGTGCATGTCCTGGCCTGGGGGCTTGCCCCCTTCTAACAGGGCCTGCGACGGCGTGCTGCTTATCTCCGTGTCCCCAGTGCCTGGCACAGAGGGGCCCACAAGTCACTGGCAAGGAATGAATGTGGAATGAGGCAGAGGTTTGGGGGTGGGAGTAGGGGCAGGAGAGCTGAGAGCAGAGCAGTGCACTTCATGGCCATGCAGGGACAGAATGGCCCGAAGAGGGTGCAGGCCCTTGGAGCGGCCCTGGAGGACTGCAGCTGCTTCCTGGAGCTGCTCCTAGTACTCTGGCCATGGGCCACCTAGGCCACAGCTGAAGACAGAACAGGGGGTGCTGATGAGGGTGGCTCCTGAGCGAGAGGCATTAGTCAGCACTGACCATCAGATCCTTGCCCTGGCCCGGAGGGGAAACCTAGGTAGCAGGTACCACCGCAGTGGAGGCCTCATCCTCCCGGGCAGCCCTCCGTTCGCCCTCAGCACCCCTGCAGTCAAGGCGTCATCACCATCCACACTTGTGTCAAAGGGGAGCCTATGGCCAAAAGCCACAGGGAGACTTGACAGGGCTGGAGGGGACTGCGGCTAGAAGTCAGCACAGGATCCATCCCTCCAATCCAGGCACCTCACTCCGCAATCAGGACAATCTAGTCCTGGCCCAGGCAGGACTCTTAGATATGCCGGGACCAGCCAGGGGCAAGCGGCGTCTAGGCAGACACTCCTACTTCTGAGTTAGGAGACTGGCTTCCCGTCCACACCCACCACCTTCTCCCTCCTCACCGCCCCCTGTCCTCCTACAAGGCACTAGGCTTTTCCGGAGCACAGCAACTTCTGAGGTGGCCCAGGCCCCTGTATTCCCTTGTGAAACCTGCCGCCTCTTGGGTCCTGTGAGAGCCTCGTCTCCGTTCCTAGGGAAAGTAAGGGGCTGGAGAACTAGGTGTGGCTTTAGTGTTCTGCACCTGCCAGCTAGTCACCCAGGGCCGCTCACCTGGTCCTTGTGGGAGGCAGCCCTTCCTCCATACCTCATTGCTGCCACTAAACTTGGAGTGTCCTGGAGCCAGGGCCAGGCCCAGGCCCAGGTCTGGGTTTCTTGCCATGCTCCCTGAGGGTACCAGGACAGGTCCCAGAAAGGGGCTGTGCCATGAGGGGGCCTGCAGTGGGTGCAGAGAGGAACAACCCAGCATGCACAGAGCAAAGGCCTGTGGAGCGGGTCCCCAAGGGTGACTTGGTGCTGGCAGATGCTTAACAGCCGGCTTTGGGCGTGCGGGAGGCCTGGTGCGTGTTGTCAGTCGATTGCTGTGGTGTCAGTATTCAATATTACCATGATTGAGTCAAGCTGCCCTCATGAGGTCGCTGAGTAGGGAGTTGGAAAAGATGCAAAATCACACACGTCCTTGTCATATCGTCTTTCTACCATGCACACACACACAATGCAGCTCAGTCACCAGGGCCCGGGGACTAGAGATGAGGTTGGTGGGCGCAGTGGGTTGAGAGGGGGATGCACAGTTGACAATCACAGCACACTCGCTGTGTTTCCCTGTAAACACTCAGTCTACCCCCCTGTAGGTTCAAAGAACGCGTACTGCAGACCCCAAATGACCTTCTGGCCGCTGGCTTTGAGGAGCACAAGTTCAGAAACTTCTTCAATGCTGTGAGTTCACCTAGTCCCTCCTTCCACACTGGCAGAGCAGACAGGAGCGGGCACTGGTTGGAGCCCCGCACAGCCCACAGCTCTGCTTCTCCGGGCTGGGGAAGGACAGAGGGTTGCTTCCTGCTTGTGGGGGTGTGTGGGCACAGGGCGCCCAGGGCCCTGCCCTCCCTTTGGGAGGAGGCACGTCCTCCACCCTATTCCATCTCCACCTTGTGCCTCCCTATCCAATTAGTGAGGGGGCGGGATCGAGGACTCTGACGCTTGCCACTCTGAGTGTGCATGTGAGAATGCAAACCCAGGTAGTCATGGCAGGAAGACCCAACTGCCGCTCCCTAGACGTGCCTCTGGCCTAGTGTACAAACTACAAAGTCTTGCTAACCCTGGGTTACTTAGCTTAGGCAGAATCTCAGACTGATTTTCTACTTCAACCTGAGAATCTACAAATGAAAATGCACGCGAGGGCTTCACGCAAAGGGAGGGAGCGGAGGGAGAATGCAGAGGGAGGGCTGGGGCTTGCTTGGCCTCCCTAGCTGAGGGCCGGGCGGCGCAGTTTTACAGTGTGGTGGAACTGGTAGAGAAAGACGGCTCAGTGTCCAGCCTGCTGAAGGTGTTCAACGACCAGAGTGCCTCAGACCACATCGTGCAGTTCCTGCGCCTGCTCACATCGGCCTTCATCAGAAACCGAGCAGACTTCTTCCGGCACTTCATTGACGAGGAGATGGACATCAAAGACTTCTGCACTCATGTAGGTGTTGGGGTCTCAGCCCCAGCCCCGGGTTCTGCTCCTGTGGCCCTCTCCCACAGACTTCAGCACCCATCTCTAGCCAAGGGACTTGGGTGTCACGACTGCCCTTGCAATTCAAACAGAGCTAGGTTAGCAAGCTGCAGACAGGTCTCACCTGAGCTGCCTGAGGTGTGTGGCCTGAAGCAAGGCACTTCCCTCCCTGGAGATTTCCCATCTGAAAAATAAGGGATTTGGACTGGCCTGTTTACAAAACCGCAGAGTCACAGTCCAAGAGTTACATTTGCTTGACGTGTTTAGGATGCGTGGTATTTACCCGAAAGAATTGCCAATATTTGAAAATTAGGCACTTTTCATAGGAATATTTGGATTTCTGTTGGAAAATCAGAAGATCCAGCCCCCAGGCCCTTGCTCGTGCAGGACAGTATCAGCAGGCACTAAGCAGCAGCTGCCCTCTCGATGTGGGACACACGCCTGCTTGCCACCGCCTCTGCCTCTTCCATCGTCTCTGCAGCATCCGGACTGGCACCCTCACTCACCAGCCTGGCCTCTGCAAACACTTAAGCTTGAAAGGCACCCCTGGATGTCAGGGTGCCTTTTATCTCTAAGATTCTTTGATGCCCAACCTGAAAAATTTCTGCCCCCTTTCCAGATCCGTCTAAAGTAGTAGCCTGCTCTCAGGCGTAACAACAAGGTCTAGAATGGAAAAGATCCAGGTTCGATTCTTGCCACTGTAGCGATTTCTAGCTGTGCTGCCTCTCAGTGAGGCTGTTTCCTGTGTGACATGAGAATGTCCATACCCAACTCATGGGAAGTTGTGAAGATGATGTCCCAGCACAGAGGCTGTGACCATGACCCTGAGAGCCAGAGTTGAACTCACTTATCCTCTGCCAGGCCTCCCTCCTAAGCTGGTTTCTTTTCATTTTGGCTCCCTGCAGGAAGTGGAGCCCATGGCCACGGAGTGTGACCACATCCAGATCACGGCATTGTCCCAGGCCCTGAGCATCGCCCTGCAGGTGGAGTACGTGGACGAGATGGATACCGCCCTGAACCACCACGTGTTCCCTGAGGCCGCCACCCCTTCCGTTTACCTGCTCTATAAAACATCCCACTACAACATCCTTTATGCAGCCGATAAACATTGATTAATTTTAGGCCATGCAGTGGAACCTGTCACCTAATGGGACTGCATTCTGAATGGAACATTCCGGCTCTTCAATTTTTTAAGCAATTTAGACTGTAGCAAGAAAATGTGCAGCCTTTTGGGCAAAGCCCCTGGAACGAGGCCTACCCATTATGGACTGTGGTAACTTGGTGGTATTTTTAGTATTTATTTTAATGGAGGATCAAATGCTTTCTAACTGGGCCCCTGACAGTTCCCTGTGAGGCCTGGGTGGGTCACCTGCCCTCTCTGGAATTGTTTCTTCAACTGGAGGAGGGTCCTGCCTATGTTGACATTGCATTGTAGAAAAATGGGGCCTCTGGTTTCTCTTTACCAGGGGCAGTGCCTCTCTGCGGGGGAGGAAAAGCTCAAGGTTAGCTGTCTTAATGCAAGTGACTTACCAGGCCTACAGAGTCCAGTCCAGTCATTTGTTGGACTGGGCTCTGGCAGATGGCCTGTTGAGCTCAATTTGAATGTGAGGGCTGCGGTGTGGTTTCAAACATTCATGATGGATGTATTTTCCTACCCCTAACTTAACGAGAAAAAAAAAGACTTTCTTTTTTTGCCAAAGTCCAGAAAAGGGCCTTTAGCCTTTAGCAGGAGCTTAAATTGTTGGGGCCCCTCTACCTCTCTCAGGGTCAGAACTGCCTGATTTTTGGTGGACGAGCCCTTCAGGGTTCTGCTGTCAGCCCCACCTGGACAGAGGCTTACAAGACTAGGGTCTGGAGCAGAATCTGTGTATTTCTGTCTGGGACCAGGAAGCTGCAGCTGTCCCATCATCCCCAGCAAATCCTAGAAGTGGAGTCTGGGTACTTCACAGAGAGAGGTGTCGGCACGCACAGCCGTGGACCCAGCTGAGCAGAGCAGATGCTTTGCAAGCTGCCCCTGGCTGCTCTCTCCCTTTCCCGCTTCTGCTCTCTTTACGGACTGGTCAGAGGGTAGGTGGGAAAGAACAGACAAGCCATGTAAGTTGGCAGTGGGGAGATTTCTGCTGTGGAAACTGCCTGGGAATTCAGGCCAGCAGCGTCCTCATTCGGCCACCTGGCTATGCCCCTTAAATAAGCCCCTCACCTTGCTGCCTCAGGACCTTCAAGATTCCATCCGTGGGCTGGCCGGCGCGACGGCACCAGTGGGGCCCCACACCCTGGCTGGGCGGAGGTGCTGCTAGCAACCTCTCTTTCTCTGTAGGAGGAAATGGAAAATGCAGGGTGTGGAATTGCCCTTTGGGGTCCTTCCTTAATTGAAGGCCACCTTCTCACAGGTTTCATTCTGCAGGGATTTATTGGAATCTATTGGTGCTGCTGCGTGAGTCTGCTGGCAACCTGACTACACAAGGACTGGGTAGCAGACTCCTCAGAGTCCTCTTGACACAAATGTCTGATTTGTGTCACTCTTCTGCCTTCGTGAAAAGCCAATAGCACTCTAAAATGTCAGGGGATTTTCGTTCCAAGCAGGGCCCCTGGTTTCCATGCTGCCCTCAGTTGGAGTTTGGATCCAAAGGCTCTGGCTAAGTCATTATGTCACTTTTTCACAGGAATGTAAATTTGGCCATCACCTCTGAATTTGTTCAGTACCCCACCATGGTCTATGAGAAGTACACTGGAAGCGTGGGGGGAACACATGACATGATTTGTAAATAGCATCATCTTTGCCGGACAAGTCTCCAGAGGATCCCTGTTTCCCAACTGAAAGGTGTGAACGGACACACACATGGCCTGGATGACACCTTGGCTGTTCTGAGGGGCTGTCAGGTGGGCTCTGGGCCTTCCAGCTAGGCTCTCAAGCACAGCAGAAGCCTCACTGGCTGCTATGTCTCTGTATCTGTGGCTTGTGTGGTAACCTCAGAAGCAGAGCTGTTTGGCAGACTGGCTGGAGAAATTCCCTCTGGGAGACGTGCCTGTGCTGTGCTTCCAGGTCACAGAGCCCCCCAGAAACTCACAGGGGCCCTCTTCCCAGGAAAGAATCTATTCTATCACTTCAGAATCAGGACACTCAAGCTCTGGCAGAGGCAGGCCAAGTTACTTTCATGGTCTTACCCTCTGCTTTTCCCCTTTTTGCAAAAAACCATCAGCCAAATCCGAACCATTGCCCTTGTTCCCCCGACATTCCCTCTCAGATTTGTCTCAAAGGGAAAACACAGTGGATGAAAAGGTGTGGCAGGCTTTGGCAGCTTATTAAAATCTAGTCATCTGTCGATGTTACTTTGCTTGTCCACAGCAGCCAGTCACCCTGGCAGTCACACTTCCTGGGTAATTCTCTACCCTCACCCCACAGAGCCATCTCTCTCCAGACCAAAAGCTGGAAGGAGAGTTGTTTTGAGAGCTTGTTTTTACAACTGCACGTTTATTATGATACTTTCTCTCCAAAGGAAACTTTATAAATCAATGGGAACAATTAGCAACAGAAAGAGCACAGTCCCTGCTTTTGACTGGGTTTCTATTTTAAGCACAAATGAGATCTCTGGAGCCAGAATGCCAGGGTTCAACCCTCAGCATTGCCACTTACTAGCTGTATGATCTTAGCCAACTTCACTTCCCTGAACCCCAATTCCAAAGTTTGTGAAATGGCGACAATACCTATGTATCACTGGATTATTGGCTAAAATGGAATGAGATTCCTTGTGTGAAAACAGCTATTATACCTGACACTCATCGTATGGGCTCTACAAAGGGATGTTCCCCAACCTGTCCTTCCCGACAGGAAGCACGGGGCACTGCAGATGGGGAAGCATGTCACCTTGGCAGTGACTCTGTGGCTTCCCAAGCAGGAGTGTCAGGGGAACCATTAGACAGAGTCTAGGAGCCAAACGCATTGCCACCCTGAGCAGACATGGGAGTGGGGAGGGGGCTGTGACTCAGTGAGTGACTTTCAGGGGCCCCAGGCCCTGCGGGATGTAGGCCAAGCCCTACAGCTTCCCTGGGCAGTAAGTAAAAACATTCTCCTAGCATTAAAATGGTTTCCATAACTACTTTTGTCCTGGCTTAATACTGGGTTCCTGGCATGCGGCCAAGAACTCTGCTTTTCCGTGGTGCTTATGTGTTGAGTAGATTAGCTGGGGAGGGATATTCCTTGTTTAATGGCAGATCCAGGACACTCAGGAAGCTCTGCCCATTGACTTCACCTTACCAGGCGAGAGTAGCACTACTTGGAAGGCTGCTCCTGTCTTATAAAGCCTGTCTACTTATTAGCTCCTCCACCGAAAAAAGGAAAAGAATTTGCTGTTAGAAGGCTGGGGCAGGACACCGACAGTCATCAGGGGATCTATGTTTGGCTTGTGACAAGTGGCTTCACTCCCACGGCTCAGGTACTATTGGGGGATATTGAGCCTACTTCCTAACCCCACTGACCTCCACTGCATCATTTGGAAAAGGGAATCTCCCTGTCATTCTCTGATAGCTGTCAGTCAGGAGCTGACCTCACAGACAGGGGCACTTTCCCCTCCTATCCAGGTCACTGGTGACACTGGGGGATGGGAGGTCACTCCTTGGCAACACTTCTGAGACTGAAGTAGCTTTCTGAACTTGTCCTGGGCCCAGAAGGAAGATACTAATCCCACCTCTGCCACTTGGCTGCTGTGTGGCGCTGGGCAAGTCTCAATCACTGGGTGTCTATATGCTCAAGTACAAAAAACACTATTAAGACTTATAGATGGGCACAGTAGCTCACATCTGTAATCCCAGCACTTTGGGATGCTGAGGCAGGAGGATCACTTGAGGGCAGGAGTTTTGAGACCAGCCTAAGCAACATAGTGAGACCCCACCTCTAAAAAAAAAAAAAAAAAAAAAAATCAGCCAGGTATGGTGGTGTGTGCCTGTAGTCCCAGCTACTTGGGAGGCTGAGGCAGGAGGATTGCCTGGGCCCAGGAGTGTGAGGTTGCAGTGAGCTGTGACTGTGCCACTGCACTCCAACCTGGGCAACAGAGCAAGACCCTGTCTCCAAAAAAAAAAAAATTATTTCTCAGGACCTTCAAGACTAAATGCTAATTAGATAAAAGTGCCAACCATGAGGCGAGAGAGGCGAGCTACTTAGATCTTGGGGTATCTTGGTCCATTTGTGTATCCTCTTCAATTCCCTAGCACCCCTTGAACTAAACAGCTGTATTGTATTGTGCCCCGATAAATACTTGTTTGGAAGCCAGACAGTTATGCAGAAATCTGTGCTTCTCCCATGGTTGTGGGAGTTGTGGATACTCACCTACACTGATGCAGACAAAGCTGGGGCAGCACCAGGAAGTCCCTAGTTCTCTGGGCACACATTTATACCAGGCTGACCAAGCCTTGAGTTCCTCTTCTCCCAAGGAGCTCAGCTAAGGGAACACAGCATAGCAAGTGCTATGAAGAGGGTAAGCATGGGATACTAAGGGAGCCCCAGGAGAAGCACTGCCCCCACTTAGAGGCTCAGGACTAGAGGATCCATAGCAGTGCTCTGGGATGGAGAAGACCAAAAGGCAATCCAGACCGATGGAAAAGCCTATTCTGCACAAAGGCTCAGGACAAGAGAAGGGGTGCATGGAACTGTGGGCAGGAGCCTGCTCTGTCACAGAGGAGGGGAGTGGAGACAAGGCTGGGGCTAGATCCTGAGGGCTTCACACGTCAGACCTGTGACTGTTACTGTTGACTCTGTGATGTGAGGGAAGCCTGAAGACAGCAACCTCATCCCTGCCCACCTCCCACAGCGGCTCAGACAATAGCCAAGAGTGTGGGAGAGAACTAAGGAGCTATTAGGGTGCTGCTCTGGGTAAAGCAGGAACATGTGCCTCTTGAACATTCCAGCCTCTTGCTCCATCCACACTGTCCGATCTTGGCCTGCAGCCAGAGGCCTGACACTATTCCTGTCTTTTCAAGGGCTTAGCACTGTGCTGGCCCAGGAGAATCATCAAATTAATAATGAAACAAACGACACCACGCCCCCAACCATCTTCTAGCTAAAAAAAAAAAAAAAAAAAATTCAGGATGACACAATGGCTCCGACCATTGTTTTTAATTTATGAAATCAAGTTGAACACACAAGAAGCCTATAAACACTGCAATACAGAAAAATTAAGCTGCTGCATAGAATTCTTACTCCAAAACAATGCAAATCTGCATGAGGTCTCTCCCGCTATGGGTGTGAGTAGAAGAGAGGGAGACGTTTTTACCTGGGGTTGATGGTGGAGTGAAACACAAGGGTGGGAGAGGTTTTGCAAATAGCCAGAGAACAGAGAGCAATGTGCAGTCACTAACACACTTGACCAGGGCAGTTAATTTGCACTTGTACTTGGCTGTGGCTGTTCCGGCTGCGGCTCCTTTGGCTTCTTTGTCTTCTGCTGCTGCTTGGAGAGACAGCTTAAAGCAGACTCACTCTTACTTGGGGCAGACACAAGCAGGGGCGGCTTGCCAGACTGAGTGGGATACTTGGTTTTCTGGCTCTCCGTAAACAGCGGCTGGGAGAGCAGGTGGCGCAGCTCCTTCTTCAGAACCTTCATCTGCTTTTGTCTCCGACGCTCTTCTTGCTGGTCAGCTTTTCCTCCTTGAAACACAATACAAAAAAGATCCTATTTACTATGGTTTGTAGAAACATTTTGTTTCCCTTGATGGATAACACAATGAAAAATGTTTTAGAACTACTTTAGGGAGGCAGGGTTCAAAAGTTCTCTGAAGAAGCCAGTGGTGGCTTGGCAGGGGCTGTAAATGGATAACATCTAACCATTTGCGGGGGATACGCAGGACCGCTCTGTCCTTTTACTTCATAAAAATCCTCCAAGGCTGGAATTATGTTTATAGATGAGGCAATTCAGGCTTAGAGAAGTCACCTGGCTCACATCACAGAGCCAGCCATCAGACAGAGCCCAGAACCCAAGTCTCCTGACTGAAGATCACTTTTCTTCCTATGACCCACCCACTTACTGCCCACCTAGGGTTTGGTGACTTCACAACTACAACCACCCACTGCCCCCGCCCCCCCCCAGGAGACACTGAATGCTTCCTTGTAGCCCAGCTGTCCTGTGCCTTGCCACCAGTGCTGTGACTGCACATGGAGAGGCTGGAAGAGCCAAAGGGTTCCACCTCAGCCTGTCTTTAGGAAGGGAAGCTGGGCCCAAGCCCCAACCCTGAGCCACCAGGAGGACCAGCTCACTGTCATCAAGCCCACTGGTTTGGCTCCTGGCTTCCATGCTGAGCAGACAGCAGTTAGTCTGTCTCTGAATTTGCTGACTTGGGCACCGAGGTGTCAACATCTCTGCTGAGCCACATCCCTGGTGGTGTGGAAGGAGCATGGAGTTCTAGATTTGGTTCTACCACTTCTTAAGACTCAGGAGCTTTCTCGAGCAGGGACCGAGCAGACTCATCCCTGAAGCCTCAGCCTCTGGTCACATACAGAGTAGCAGCTCAGGAAATGCCTTGTGACAGAGCTGTTGCCCTGCAAAAAGTGCCTCTGCTGTGAGTATCTAGTTCCCATATGTAAAAGGAGAGTAATTCCTGCTGTGTTCATGTCATGAGAGTGGAGAAGATCAAATGAGATAATGGCATGGAAGTGCTTTGTCAGCTTGGAAGGCAGGTGTAGTAGGAACCATAATGACAAGTAACTTAAAATGTAATACTTTCTATTTGTCAGGCAATACCACAAGCACTTAACATTTTTTAACTCAATCAGTCTTCACAACAATCCCATGAAGTAGGTAGTTGACTACTTCCATTTTATGGCGGAGAAAACTGAGACACAACAGAGGTTAAATAACTTGACTCAGTAACATAGTTAAGGCAATGAGCCGGCATTCTAACACAGGCAGCCTGGCCAGAGAGCCTGCTCCCTTCCTCACTGTACTCCACTGCCTGTCCATGTAAGAGGAGGCAGCTAAGGGCACAAGACAGAGACAGAGGAAACAAAGACTGACAGAAGCCAGTAGGCTCATCTGGGACTAGGGCCTGTTAGCAAAGAGGGGGAAGGACATCTTGCTGATTCTGACAAGATCCACAGTAGTAGAGATGGTTCCAACAAGGCAAAAGTTAAAGAGAGATTTCAACTTCCTTAATTCCCATCCCGCCCAAGGGCTTACCCTTATACATGTCTTCTTCCAGCTCAATCTCCAGGGCAGCTGCTGCCTGCTCAATCCAAGAGTTGTGCAGGCAAGCCTGGAAGTTCCGATACTCAGATTTCTCAATCTGTCGAGCTAAACGGATTCGCTCCTGGGGGGAAGTAACAGAAAATATTCACCTGAAACAGAGTTCAGGCCTCTGGGAAGCAAAGTCTCACTTGAGTTGTGTTTGTGTGTTTAAGGCAGGTATCACTCTGCTGCCCAGGCTGGAGAGCAGTGGCACGATCATGGCTCACTGCAGCCTCAACCTCCTTGGATCAAGCGATCTCCCACCTCAGCCTCCCAAGCAGCTGGGAGGCACCACCATGCCTATTTTCTTTTAATTTTTTTATTTTTATTTTTTGTAAAGACAGGGTCTCACTGTGTTGTCTAGGCTGGTCTTGAACTCCTGGGCTCAAGTGATCTTTCCACCTCAGCCTCCCAAAGTGCTGGGATTACAGGCGTGAGCCACCATGCCCAGCAAGTAGTGTTTTTAAAAAGCTCTTGAGCCAGGCACGGTGGCTCACACCTGTAATCCCAGCACTTTGGGAGGCCAAGGCGGGCAGATCACCTGAGGTCAGGAGTTTGAGACCAGCCTGACCAACATGGAGAAACCCCATCTCTACTAAAAATACAAAAAAATACAAAATTAGCTTGGCATGGTGGCACATGCCTGTAATCCCAGCTACTCGGGAGGCTGAGGCAGGAGAATCGCTTGAACTTGGGAGGCGAAGGTTGTGGTGAGCCGAGATTGTGCCATTGCACTCCAGCCTGGGCAACATGAGTGAAGCTCTGTCTCAAATAATAATAGTAACAATAATAATAAATAAACACATAAATAAATAAAAAGCTCTTGAGATCAGTGGTGAGATGCAGTTCAGTTCCTATTGAAACGCATTTGTTTTGTTTCCTGATAAAAACCCAGTGGGCAACCATTACCCGTCTGTGTGTACACATCTAAACACAACCGCTAGCTTTTCCAACAATCAACCTCAACAGCCACATCCTTTGAAAACCCTTACTGGTTCGACTGCCAACCTATAGGTAACCCAAGTGAACTCTTTACACAGATGCCACAGCTCGCTTCATAAAACATTTCAATTCTCCCTCTAGGGGGTTTTGGGGCTGCACTGCAGAGGCAAAATGAGAAGGATCTTGTGATGTGATCAAAGGAATCACGGGAAGCCTGGGTGGCTCCTATTCCTCCTTACTAATGGGAATTCTCTCTGATTTCCACTTTTCCAGCCTTATCTCCACCCTATTTCCCCAAATAGCTAATATTCCTTTTGAGCCAGAGAAGCCAACATTCCTTGAACTGTGCTATGCTTTTGCTCCCTCAATTCCTGGAATTCCACCTCCTCTGTACCCTTCCACATCTTTGCCAGCAGGAAGCTGGGACAGAACCTCTTCTCCTCCCAATGTAACATATGCCCAGTAATTCCACACTGCTCCATTGTACCTGAACTTTATTCACACCTGGCAAACCTCTGGGAAGGAGAACTCACCCCACTTTGGTCACTAACACAGTGTCCCACGGTAAGCAGCACCTACTTGGGGAATACTTGCTGAGTTAAAACCCAAAAGACAGACTTTACTGGCACCTGCTCCAGGGATGTGCCAAACCTGTAGCATCTGCCTCAGCAAGAAATGCTAACCACACTGTCTACAACCCTCTGACAGGATATCCAGGCAGCCATGACCACTGCACTGTCCGGTGAGCAGGGGCGACTTCAGGGCCAGACAAGGAAGAAATGGTTCAGGGAGAAAATGCCTCACACCTTCAGTCACTCCCCTTTTCTCTCTTTTCCCAGGTATGTTGTTCTCAATCCTTTCTACAAGTCTCCTTGTTCAGCTGTTGGCAGAACCATTCCTTAGTTTTCAAGGGTTTTGCTGCCAGAGTCCAACAGCAAGGTGCTCTGCAAGGGAGCAGCCCAATCCCTTCATTAACACTGGGGTTTTAACTTTGCTTTCTACCTTGACCACGTCCATGTATTTTGTCTGCACAGGGAATAGCGGGATGTCCTCATCTTTCTTGAGGGTTTTGTAAATCTTCTTAAAGTTGATCACATCCTCAGGCCCAATAAGCATCAGGCTGAGACCTTCATTGGCAGCTCGAGCAGTTCGACCACTTCGGTGGACATAAATCTCCGAGGTACGTGGGACCTGCCACAGGAAGAACTGGGAGATCAATACACGGCCACTGCCAAACACTGGTCCTCTCCTCAGGGCCACATCTCCAAACCGGACCCTCCTACCTCCCAGCCAGGCAGGCAGAAACTTCTGCAGCATTGTAGAGCAACCTAGCCCTCCTCTCTTAGTCCCACATTCAAAATGTTCCCAGGTTTAGCCCATTCACTGTGTAGGCTCTCCCCTCCCATGCCCCTCAACCTAGTTCAGGTCCTCAAGACCATGTAGCCAGACCACAGCAGTCACTTCTTATCCAGGATTTAAGCAGCCCAGCTCCACAAACCATGTTAATCCCTGGGTTACATGGTCTCTACTCCTATATATATATTATCCATAGATAATGTGGCATGGTTGCTGACACACCCACTGAGCCCCGGCACACACCATTAATCAAGCACAACAGTCTTCTCCACTGGGCCCAGATAACAACTAGGTATCCTTTTCAATATAGTACTTTAAGTAGCCACTATGAACTGTTCATAAGAGCTCTAGAAATGAGATTTGCCATTCTTTACTTATAGGATAAAGGCCCAACTCTTCAACCTGACACTCAGGGCCTTTAGTGACTTGCCTCCAACTTACCCCTCCAGCCTCAGCAACTATTCCTTTCCCAACACATCCCCTCTTTTCACTCTGAGCCAAGTGCCCCTGAACACTGCCCATTTCTTTGCTCCTTCCTTTAATGCCTCTACATGTCCAAATCCTCTCCACCCTTAAATGCCAGGCATCTTTTAAAAAGTACTTTCCAACCTCCCAAACTAGAAGTTACCTCTCTTCCATTGTATTTGGTAATTTTCTAATACCTTCTGCCTTAAATTATGGCTGTGGTCATCTCACCTCCTCTGCTGGATCCAATACTTCTTAGGGGCTGGGACTGTATTTGATTCATCTTGACTCCACAAAGGTTGACCCAACTCCTTCCCCAAAAAAGGGAAGACTATAGAGATTTGCTAAACCAAAATTAGCACCTGTGATACAGTGAAATGTTTTTGCTCTTCATCCTGTTTCCTGGCAAAGGAATCTCAAAAGTAATGTCTTTTTGTAAGCTAATGACAAACTATTGACTGATGGCTGATAGCCCCCTAGGTAGTTTCAGGATGGGGGCTGGTCACCAGAAAGGCCAAGGCGGGATTAGAAGGTTGGGACTTTCAGTGCTACTACCCAAAGGCCAATGGTTTAATTAATCATCTTACCCAATGAAGTCTCCATAAATATCCCAAAAGGACAGAGTTTGGAGAACTTTTGAATAAGCTGAATATGTGGACATTCCTGGAGGGTGGTGTACCCAGGAGGGGCATGGCAACTCCATGCTCCTTCCCCTATACCTCAGCCTATACATCTCCCCATCTATATTCTTTCTAATATCCTCTATAATAAACTGGTAATGTGTTTTAGTTCTGAGAGCTGCTGTAGCAAATTAATTGAACCCAAAGAGGGGGGTCAAGGGAACCTCAACTTGAAGCTGGTTGGTCAGAAGTTCCAGAGGCCCCGACTTATAGACTGGTCACGGGGAGGAGGGACATCTTGTGGGATCTGAGGCCATCTCCAGGAAGACAGCATCAGAAAATGAAACTAAATAAGAGGACACCCAGCTGGAGGCTGCTGCTTGATATGTGGTGAAAAATGCCCACACGTTTGGTTACAGAAGTCTTCTGTGTTGATTGTTGTTGTGAAGTGAGAGAATGGGAAAAAGCACTTTGAGTTTGTTGTTTCACTGAAACAGCAGCCTAAAAGATTTTTAAAAGCACAAAGAGGAATTAAAGAGAAAAAATAATAATGCCATAACAGCCACCATTTATTGAGTACTTACACTGTGCTACCGGCTTCATGAGCATCAGCTCAATTTAATTCTCAGGATAACCCTATGGGATAGCTAGCATTGTTACTTCCAGTTTACAAACAATGACACTGAAACCAGAGGTACTAAATAACTTGCCTAACGCTAACCAACTATGAAGCAGCAGACTGGGGATTCAAAGCCTGGCAGGCTGGTTCCGGTGCCCATACTCCTAACCACAGCTTTATGCTGATATTCACTAGATGCACAAACTAATATTACTGCTACTATCAATGGCAGTTAACATGAGTAAGTGCTTACAATGTGCCAGGTGGCTTCTTAAGCTCTTTATACTTAGTAACTTATTTTACCTCAAAAAGAACCCTAAGAAGCAGGTACTCACTGCCATTTAACACATGAGAAAACTGAGATACAGAGAGATTACATGACTTGTTCAAGGTTACACAGCTGGGATTTGAGCCCAGAGAGATCTAAACTACCACACTCTTCTATTCATACTTCTCTACATCAGGGTAACCAATTACAAGCTTAACTTATGCCCATTTCACAGAAAAAACTAAGACTCTAACCTGACAATATCAAGTAGCTTGGAGAGAAGGGTTGCTTGACATCAGACAAAGCAAGGTTTTCTGGAGACCAAATCTCAGCAGTGTTCCAAAAGTGGGAGTAGTGGGCTGGTATTCTCTGATGCAAGAGCCTTGGAACCAACAATTCCTCCTCCCTCCCCCAACCTTTGCCTTAAAATTTCCCGATTCAATGCAGGCAGATGCCTATACATTTTCAGATGCCCCTACCTGGTAATGGATGACATGCTGGACTTTAGGAATATCCAGACCCCGAGCTGCCACATCTGTTGCCAAGAGAACACAGCTGGGGTAGAGAGAGAAAGCTTATTAATAATAACTAACAGCTATCTTTAATCAAACTCTTACCAACTGCTGAGCATCCTAAACATTACAGTCCTTACCAATACTCTGTAAGATATCATTTCTATACCCTTTTGCAAAAAAACTGAGGCTCTTAGAGATTAACTTCCCAAGGTATGTACATGGCTATTCAGTTGTGCAGTCTGAATCCAAATTTGGGACTCACTGACCCCAACTAACATGCCATACTCTGCAATGATAAAAAAAACTCCCTCCAGTGAGTTAAATGAGGCCATACATATTCTGGGTCAGTGACCTCCTATCCTATCACCCTCTCACTTCCTCCCAGTGGCACAGACTTCCTTGTTCTTCCCCAAACAAACCAAGCATGCTCTCACCTCCAAGCCTTTGCACTTGCTACTCCTTAGGCCTTAAAGGGTCTTGCCTCAAATATCCATATGACTCACTTTATTACTTTCTTCAGCTCTCTGCTCAATTTTCACTTCATCAGAGAAGCCTCCCTGACCACACATACCCAATCTCTTTTCTCCAACCCTTGCTCGATTTACTTCTTAGGATCACTTGGTACACTGTGGACTTACTTTGCAATTTATTATCTCCCTCTACTAGAATGTAAGCTCCATGAGAGCAAGGACTTTGCATTACTCACTGCTGTATAACTACCACATAGAAACAACATCTGGTTCATTGTAATCACTTGATAAATGTGTTGGATGATGTTTCTCAATGTGTGGTTCATGGAAAGTCAAAAGTACTTGAGGTGCTTCAAAACATAAGATTCTGGCCCTTCAGGATCCTCACTCCCTGCATTTCTGAGCTGAGGCCGGGAAACGCAATGCAAATCCTAGTTTGTAAAACATTAAACTACTGCTCTGGGTCAAGATCAGCAAACTTTTTCTGTAAAGAGCCAGAGAGCATTTCCAGCTTTGTGAAAAACATAGTCTCCATGGCAACTATTCAACTCTGTCGCAAAAGCAGATACTGACAATACATAAATGGGTTTTGCTGTGTTCCAGTAAAACATCTACTAAAAAACAGGCGGCAGCCAGGTGTGATGGCATGCATTGGTAGTCCTAGCTACTTAGGATGCTAAGGTGGGATTGTTTGAGCCCGTGAGTTCAAGTCTAACCTGGGCAACACAGCAAGACCCCATCTCAAAAAGGAAAAAAAAAGGCAGCAAGGAAGATTTGGCAGGAGGGCTATAGTTTGCCAAGCCTTGTTCTAAGCTAATCTCAGTAAACCACTGATACTACTTACCAATTTTTTAAAACAAGTAAATCAAACACTTGTTCTAAAAACTAACTACCCTGTGACCTGACAAAACACTAGCAAAGGACACTTTATAGTCTGCCTCAACTTCCCAGGCCCTCATCTTGACAATCTGGACCCCATTCCCTGAGCATCAGCCTGGTCCAAAGGCAGATGGACAAAGACATCAGGAATAAGAGACAGCATGGGCTTTGAGGTCCAACAGGCTTGTCTAAGGCCTAGTTCTACCACCTCCAGGCAGAGAAACCTTGGGCAGACTGATCGGCTTTTCTAGACCTCATTTCTTCATCTATAAATGAGAATAGTGATAATGGTAATAAGTAGTAATAGAAGAAGAAATTATTAAAGCTAACATTTAGCAATATACATATACTATATGCTAGAGACTGTTCTAAATACTTTACACGCATGAATTTACAATCACTTAATCCTCATAACAACCCTATAATGGGTTCCATTATTATCCCAAAAATGAGAAAATTAAATTACAGAGAAGTTAAATAACTTGACCACCTAAGGAGTGACACAGCTAGGATTTGATTTCAGGCATTCTGGTTCCAGGATCTGTGCTCTTAACCATGAATCTATTCTGCTTCCTCTTAAGGATGTTAGGAGAGTAACTGAATGTGATTCTGAATCTAAAGTGCCAGCATAGGACCTAATCTATTGTCTATATATTCAATATTATGTATTGTCACCCATATTCATTAGTATTGAAGCTTCTGTATGGCATTTAACAGCAACCAAATCCACTAAAAGAGTAACCTTGCCAAATGCTGTGCAAAAGAAAAAAAAAAAAGGCTACCTACTACTGAGATAAGGCCCCTATGACAGAAGGTGGCTTTTCTACCATTTCCCCACCATTCTGACCCCTTTTACCCCAGGTAACTAAGTAGAGGTTAAGCCTCTGGGGACAGTCCTAACTTACTCTTCCAGACGGGCAAACTGCTCCAGGTTTCTGAGCCTCTGCTTCTGGTGCATACAGGCATGTAGGGTCAAGGGCATGATATCAAGGACTTTGAGGAGCCCAGAGAGGCGTTTGATGCAGGAGATGCTGTTGGCAAACACTAAGCTGCGGCCTGGATACTGCATCAGGAAGTAGTACAAGTAGAAGTCTTTCTCATCAGTCTCACAATGGATCTTGGTCTCTGTTAGCGTCTCCACCGTGGCCTCATTCCTTGTGAGGTCAATGACCTTGGGCTTGCCCCTCATGCCAATTTTCTGCATAAGAAGGTCAAGTTTGGCTGTTTTGTCCATTTTCTTGGTGTGCTTCTTATGAAGGATTCGAGCAGGCGCCTGATGCACCAGGGTGAGCGTGGCAGAAAAAACAAGCGTTTGTCTCTTTGGGTTGTATTGGGAGTCATTGAGCATCTCTAGCAGCTGTGAGAGCTCAGCAAAATGACCTTTCTCAACCATCCGGTCAGCCTCATCCACCACCAGGCACCTGCAGATCCAGAGAGACCCATATCATCAGTCAGTAGCAGGTTAAGAGGAATCATCTACAGCACACCCTACTCTCATCCTACACACACACACACACACACACACACACCCCCCACTACCACCACCACATCGGGGCCTCAACTACTCTCCCTCATGCACTCTTGGCTTTCTAAAGGGCAGGGTCTGGATGATACCACACCATAGCATTCCGCAATGGGAAGAAGGTATTGCCCACACCATGTCACCTGAAGCTCATTTCAGAAAAGGCAGTGAGGGGGAAAAGAGAAGTACCATCTATTACCTGAGCTGCCGAAGGTTCCTCAAATGATAATGCTTTTCTTTAATTAATTCCCACAGCCGGCCTGGAGTGGCAACCACAATCTCAGGACGACGGCTCAGCATCCTCTGCTGTTTCTGCGTGGACATTCCACCAACCAAAATAGCAGTTTTAATTCCTATGGGACAGAAAACATAAGGGACACTAATTCAATCTGGGTGATCATTTTCTTACATGGCTGACACAGGCACCCCAGATTACCAGAGACAGTCATCAGCATAGTGTAATGCTCTAGAGCATTGCTAAAAAAGCAGGCCTGGCCAGACTGTTGGTGTCACTCCTACAGGGCTTACCAAGTCTTCTGTGATCTGGGCCCTACTTCTTCAACCTCATTTCTTTCCTGCTCCCTCCCCTCCAACCACACCAAAGAGGATGAATTTGAACCCAGGTATGCTTACCTCCAAAGCTCTGGGAAAACTGAGCACTGGTGCACCATAATGCTGGGGGGAATATGAGCTGCAGCTGTGCTATACCTCTCCTATTTCCCTCAATTATAATTATTCTGAAAGGTCCTCTAATGCCCTGTTGTTTTCTTCTCTGATGGAGAAGTTCTCATAGTATCATGCAGGTAAAGGGCTTAGCAATAGTAACAATTTGGTAATTAACTGCTTCTATTATAAAATTAAAATTCCCAGAGTGAAGACCTTCCCAGAGTGAATTCCCTGAGAGAATTAAATCCTAACTGCTTATAGCAGGGATCAGCCAACTTTTTCTGAAAGGGTCACTAGTAAACATTACTGGCCTCATAGGCCAGATGGTCTCTGTCACAACTATTAACTCTATTCAACTTTACCTTTGTAGTACAAAACTAACCATAGACAATATAAAACCAAATGGGTGTGGGTGTATTCCAGTAAAACTTTATTTACAAAACCAGACAGTTTGCTAATCCCTGCCCTGAGCATCTACTGTATCCGATAAATTTCCTATGCATCTACAATGGCATCAACTGTGTATTATCCTTGAGGGAACTGAAAAAATGTCACGCAGATCAATTTTCTCTAGGGCTTAATTGTCTGGCTCACAGATGAGAATGGCTTACCCTAGAGGGCAGGAGCCACAGCTCATTCATCTTTACCAATGAGCATTTGGGATTTGCCTAGAAAGGATTTATTAAATGGAACTAAACCTCACCTGTAAACCTGGCCACAGCATCAATGTGCTGTTTGACCTGGACAGCCAGCTCTCGAGTGGGAGTCAGAACCAGTCCAAGCAGAGGACGCTTTGGATATGCCTTACAGGTGGCGCTTTTGTCATCCAACTCTTGTTTTAGAATTCCAGTCTGCTCTTTATCAATATTTTCCTCCTCATTCTCATTCTGTTTGGGAACAGGCTTCTCCCTGATCAGGGAAGAAGGCCCTTCACCAGCATCATCGTCACCAAAGAGCAATGCCTGGTCTGAGCCAGTGCCTCCAGTCTTGGCTCTGGCCTCGGCTGCAGTATCACTGGGCAGTGCTTCACTCTCAATTATAGTATCATCAGGCAATGCTCCAGACTCAGCTTCAGCCTTGCCTGGTGATCCAGTCTCAGCTCCAGCCTCAGTTCTGGTCTCTCCAGGTGATGCGTCAGTGTTACTTGGAGGAAGGGCAGCATTCCTCTTCTGCCACTGCAATACTGCATGAATCACTGGGATGGCAAAGGCAAGAGTTTTCCCACTTCCTTAAAAGTAAAAAACAAAACAAAATAAAAACAGTGTGAATCAACAGATGAACATACTTTAGTCTGGAATTCATTCTTTTGCACAGAATAAGGTAGCCAAGTGCCACCCTGACTGACCCAAAGCTCCTCCACTCTACACAGATTTCCCCAGATGGAACCAGAAGGCACAAGTAAATTAGAAACTGAGGAAAAAAAGTATGGCAGGCTAGCACTGAGGTCTTAGGTCACCAGTAATGAATTACAAATGTCCAAGAAATGAAAAAATAAAGAGATAAAGGGCAAGTTTTGGGTGTATGTGTTGTTTTTGTGAGGAGTGGGAAGCAGTAATCTACACAACACTTTCCCAAGACTTTTCTTTGGTGAGAAAGGAGGGAGTAAAAGAAAATTTTCTCAAGTTTTCAGAAAACGTAAATATAAAACTTTTGTCTATGTCTGAACATTTTCAAACTGGTCTTTGAATGTACACAGAGTCCAAATCATCTGGGTGGTTAAAACAAAACATCTCAGGCTGAGAATTTAAAGGAGTTCCAAAGTGATAATGCCCTAGGCAGAAGCCAATAAATGCTTTCTCAAGGGAGAAACCATTATTATTGATCTCCAAAAATTTTCACAATTTGCAAAGGAAACAAGCAGCTCTCAGTAAAAAATTACACACACACAAAAATAAGATACTATAAGGAAAAAAGAGAGCAAAAACACATAAAACTCTCGATAAGAACAGCAGACTTTTTATCAGAAACAACTAAAAGCCAGAAGACAGTGTAGCAATACTTTTTATTTGAATGCCTAAAGACAAAAAAATAAAAATAAAACCTGACAATCTGTAACTCTATACTCAGCAAAATTCTCTCTCAAAACAAAATGTGAAATAAAGACTTTAGGCACAGAAAACCTGAAATAATTCACCAGCAGCAAATGTGAGCTATCAGAAATATTAGTCTTTCATGCAATTGAAAAGATAATATAAAATGAAAATCTGGATGTACCCAAAGAAATAATGAGCAACCGAAACAGTAACTACGTAGGTAAATATTTAAAAACTTTTTATGGCCAGGCATGGTGGCTCATGCCTGTAATCCCAACACTTTGGAAGGTCTAGGTGGGAGGATCAAGACCAGCCTGGGCAACATAGTAAGACTCCCATCTTTAAAAAAAATTGCCAGACATGGTGGCACACTCCTGTAGTCTTCATAACTTGGGAGGCTGAGGCAGAAGGATTGTTTGAGCACGGGAGGTTGGGGCTGCAGTGAGCCATGATCATGCCACTGCACTCTAGCATGGGTGACAGAGGGAGACACTGTCTCTAAAAACAAACAAAAACCCAAAACCCCTTATTTTTCTTATTTAAACATCTTTAAAAACAATTGTTTAAAGCAAAGATAATAAAAATGTATTCTGGAATCTCTAAAACATATGAAGTATACAATAAAAAGCACAAAGGAGGAGAGAAACAAATATATTCTTGTAAGATTCTTATGTTGTATGTGAAGTAGTAAATTACTTGAAGGTAAACTATAATAACATTAAAGATATATACTATGAACCCCAAAACAATCACTAAAAAGACGTAAGAATTATAGCTAAAAAGACAACAAAAAAGATAAAATGGTATCTATGCATATATATATATATATATATATATAATAGTCTCTGTCCCTAGTTCTTGACACAGTGCTTCTAAGAGCCTTGTAACTTTCTGAGTGATAGGAGCATCTTTTGTTGAAATATTTGGTCTTAGTCCTCAGTTGCTGATATAAAACCTTGTGAGACTTTCAGCTGCCTCTCCCCAATAACCTTCAGGGAGGGAAGACGGGACTGGAGACTGAGCTCAGTCACTAACAACCAATGATTTAATCAATTATCAATCATGCCTATGCAATGGAAACTCCACAAAATCTCTAAACAATGGAGTTCGGAGAGATTCCTGGGTGGTCTCCCCAGGGACGATGGAAACTCCATGCCCTATCTCTCCTGACTTCCAACCCCGCCCCATACCCTTCCCTAGTCATCTCATCCATCTGGCTGTTTCTCAGTTACATCTTTTATAATAAATTGTTAAATGCAAGTAAAGTGTTCCCCTGAGTTCTGTCAGGCATAGCAAAGTGTTGAACCTGAGGAAGGTGTTGTGGGAATACCCAATTTGTAGCCAAGCTGATCAGAAGTACCAGTATTTGTGATGAGCATCATTAATGGGGGCAACCTTGTGAGCTGAGCCCTTAACCTGTAAGGAATGACACTAACTCTAGGTAGATAGTGTCTGAATTGAACAGAATTCACACACACATACACACACACACACAAAATTCAGTGCCAAAGAAGGAAACGAAGAAGAGCTGGGACTAATAGAAAAGTAACAGACTTAAACCCAACCATTGATGTGGCTCCCAGGAGGCAGGACTAGATTGCAGCTCCTGAAAGAGCAGTAAGCGGAGGCTTGCACTGTGAGTTTTAGCTCCAGATTGACTGCAAGAACAAACCAGTAATCCCAAGAAGACCCACAGACCCTCTGAAGGAAGTGGACTGCTCCTGCAGTACCCAGGAGACCCCCAAATACTGTGAGTGCCCCAAATGCGGAGAGGAGGGAGACCCTCCTCTCCCAAACGCACACCCCCACTGGAAAACCTGAAGGTCCGTTTGCGGGAGAAGCTTCTGACTTTACCTGAACCTGAGTCAAGTTAGAGAGCTGAGCAAAATACAGGGGTAGAGGAAGCAGCAGAAAGGCCCTGGGAGCTCGCTGGGTCCCCAAGCAGCCCATTCCTGCCTGGCACCACAGGGATCCATTTAGCGGGTGGCCAGAGGAGCAGGGGGTAAAACTCCACAGAAAGAAGGCATTCTGTAGCCAAACTCTGTAACAATTTGATGTAACAATCTGAAGAGGACCAGAAGTCTCCTGGCCAGAACTTGGGGGGAGGGCAGGAATCCAGACTTCACAGGCAGGGGAAGAACTAAAGCCCTTTTCTTTCACAGCTGGAAAGTGGAGAGCCTTGGACAAGTTTTCAAGCCCTCCCCCTAGAAACAGACAGGGGCTGTTGGGGAAGGTATGGTGGGAGTGAGACCTGCCCTTCAGTTTGTGAGGGAGCTGGGAGCTGGGTGAGGCCTGTGACTGCCGGCTTTCCCCCATTTCCCTGACAACCTGCATGACTCACCAGAGGTAGCCATAATCCTCCTAGGTACACAACTCCAGTGACCTGGGAATCTTACCCCCATCCCCAAAACAGCCACAGCAAGACCCACCCAAGGAAAGTCTGAGCAGGCGTAGACCTGCCCCCACCTGACGGTCCTTCCCTATCCACCTTGGTAGCGGAAGACAAAGGGCATATAATCTTGGGAGTTCTAGGGCCCCCCACCGCTGGTCCCTCTCCACACTATAGCTGATGCTTTCTGGAAAGTGCCACCTCCTGGCAGGAGGCCAACCAACACAAAAATAGAGCATTAAACTACCAAAGCTAAGGACCCTCACAGAGTACAATGCATCCTCCGCCATCTCCACTGGAGCAAGCGCTGGTATCCATGGCTGAGATCCCCATAGCCGGTTAACATCACAGGACTCTGTGCAGACAACCCCGAGTACTAGCCCAGAGCCGGGTAGACTTGCTGGGTGGCTTGACCCAGAAGACAGACAACAATCACTGCAGTTTGTCTCACAGGAAGCCACATCCATAGGAAAAGGGGGTGAGTACTACATCAAGGGAACACCCCATGGGACAAAAGAACCTGAATAACAGCCTTCAGCCCTAGACCCTCCCTCTTCTACCAAACGAGAAGGAACCAGAAAACCAACCCTGGTAATATGACAAAATAGGGCTCTTCAACACCACCCCCCACCAAAAAAAAAAATCACACTAGTTCACCAGCAATGGATCCAAACCAAGAAGAAATCCCTGACTTACCTGAAAAAGAATTCAGGATGTTCGTTATTAAGCTAATCAGGGAGGGACCAGAGAAAGGTAAAGCCTCAATGCAAGGAAATCCAAAAAATGATACAAGAAGTGGAGGGAGAAATATTCGAGGAAATACATAAAGGCAATATAAAAAGGAAATTCTGGACATACTTTTAGAAATGCAAAATGCTGTGGAAAGTCTCAGCAATAGAACTGAACAAGTAGAAGAAACTCAGAGCTCAAAGACAAGGTCTTCAAATTAACCTAATCCAAGAAAGACAAAGAAAAAAGAATAAGAAAAAATGAACAAAGGCTCTAAGAAGTCTGGGATTATGTTAAATGACCAAACCTAAGAATAATTGGTATACCTGAGGAAGAAGAGAATGCCAAAAGCTTGGAAAACATATTTGGGAGAATAATTGAGGAAAACTTCTCCAGCCTTGCTAGAGACCTAGATATCCAAATACAAGAAGCACAAAGAACACCTGGGAAATTCACTGCAAAAAGATCTTCGCCTAGGCACATTGTCATCAGGTTATACAAAGTTAAGATGAAGGAAAGAATTTTAAGAGCTGTGACACAGAAGCACCAGATAACCTATAAAGGAAAACCTATAAGATTAACAGCAGACATCTCAGGAGAGACCCTACAAGCTAGAAGGGACTGGGGCCCTATCTTCAACCTCCTCAAACAAAACAATCTTCAACCAAGAATTTTGTATTCAGCAAAACTAAGCATCATATATGAAGGAAAGATACACAAAATAAACAACCGCTTTCAGATAAACAAATGCTGAGAGAATTTGCCATTTACCAAGCCACCACTATAATAAGAACTGTTAAAAGGAGCTCTAAATCTTGAAACAAATCCTGGAAATATCAAATCAGAACAACATCTTTAAAGTATAAAGTAAAAATCACACAGGACACAGAAATACAAGTTAAAAAGTAAAAAGAAAAAACAAAACTAAAGTACACAGGCAACAAAGAGCATGATGAACGCAAGGGTACCTCACATTTCAATACTAACATTGAATGGAAATGGCCTATATGCTCCACTTAAAAGATAAAGAACTGCAGAATGGATAAGAACTCATCAAACAACTATCTGCTGCCTTCA